CACATATACATGTATACATACGACACCAACACATAATAATATCTACATATAACACATAAAAATGGAGAAAATCAAGAAAATAGGAAAATCCCTCGCTGATCCCTCACAGATCAACGAGGGATCGGCGAGGGAAACTGATTTTTGACAATTCCCTCGTTGATCCCTTGTTGATCTGCGAGGGATCAGCGAGGGAATCTGATTTTTGCCAATTCCCTCGCTGATTCCTCGTTGATCTGCGAGGGATCAGCGAGGTATTTTCCTATTTTCTTGATTTTCTTGATTTTTATGTGTTACATGTACACATTTTTTATATTTAGGTAGTGTATGTATACATATAACAATTACAACATCGTGTAAACATATATATATATATATATATATATATACACACACACATGCGTACATATAATACACATCGCGGTTAGCGACCACAACATATATATATATATATATATATATACACACACACACAAACAACACATGACATGCATACATACTATATCAACACATAAAAATATGTACATATAACACATAAAAATGAGAAAATAGCAAAAATAGAAAAATCCCTCGCTGATCCCTCGCAGATCAGCGAGGGATCTGCGATGAAATGTGAATTTTGTCACTTCCCTCGCTGATCCCTCACTGATCTGTGAGGGATCAGCGAGGGATTCTGAATTTTGTCATTTCCCTCGCTGATCCCTCGTTGATTTGCGAGGGATCAGCGAGGGAATTTGCAGAAGAAATTTCCCTCGCAGATCAGCGAGGGATCAGCGAGGGAATGAGTTTTTTGGCAATTACCTCGCTGATCCCTCGCTGATTTGCGAGGGATCAGCGAGGGAACATTTCCCTCGCAGATCAGCGAGAGAATGAGTTTTTTTGGCATTTCCCTCGCCGATGATCTGCGAGGGAAATGTTCCCTCGCTGATCCCTCGCAAATCAGCGAGGGATCAGCCTTCGCCGATCAGCGAGGGATCAGCGAGGGAATGAGTTTTTTGGCATTTCCCTCGCTGATATGCGAGAGAAATTTTCCCTCGCTGATATTCGTCGTTGATAGCTGGTTTTCTAGTAGTGTTAATAGTATTGGCTAAGTATAAACTAATAAAGTCGATTAAAAATAATAAATTACAATAATAACTCATCATTCACTTTGTTCCCAAACATGCTTCATTAATTAACTTAAAGTTCAAATGAGTAGTTTTTATAGAAATTAAATTAATAATAATTTTGATAAAATAAATCATTAAAAAAGCAATACAATTTTCAGCTTTTTTTTAATCGCATCTTATAAAATTGAGGGCTATCGAGTTCTTTTCAAATGGGGCACGCTTATGATCTTCCACAATCGGTGTTGATTTCTTTATGTTCATGTGGACATGGGGAGAGTCGATAACACGTACCGACCATTATGATTGTTCTTAACATATGATATCAATTCTATTATTCTTTATGAACTTTTATTCCTTGGTCTACAAAAACGCCATCGCTTGCAGTATGCACGTCTAAACGAATTAATTAAAGGGTTTGACTTTAGATACAACATATATACCTCCTTGATATCTTAATAATGACGACAAAGGACACGTAGTAATGTTATAAAAGGTAGCTGCCACTAAATCAAACATCAAGTAGGAGACTGTTTGGTGTTTGCCTAGTTGGCTTATTGATTTCTATGATCAAACGTATTTCTTTGTTAATTTTCAAATAATCGTTGAAACAACTGAATTGCATAAGACCATAATATATGATACGGTAGACATGTATTAAGCCACTACATATGCATATGCATATGTATGAAATATGGTTGGAGAAGATGGATGTTAAAAGGGTGGGAAAAATGTGGATGTAAAGAATTGATTGGATTTGGAAAAAGTGGAGCATGCTTAGCATGTCATATAATGATGTTATTCTCGATGATATCATAAGACTTTGTTCTAAGATGAGTGGAGTATAT